TCATGTGATTTTATGCCATAAACCATCCAAGGCTTTGACCACATCCTTAAAGCATTAAAAATTGTTCCACAGATCCTCTTATTAAATGGAAAAATCAATATCATTTAATAACTCCTTTTTAAAAAGTGAAAATGACATCAGCATTTATTTAAAGCATCTTAGTTTCCAACTAGAATGTTTTACTTTGACGGGAAGGAAATTAGACAGAGGGGAACTTAATGCAATATCTGCAGACTTTGGTTTATAATGATATACACCTGAAACTTATCATGCACTTGAATAAAAGTGATTTTTTTTAAAAAAGACTAGGGTCTCCTAGAAGGTGCATCTTTTGAAGCATCTTCAGGTTTTTAAAAGTAAAAGTCATTTGAAATATCACATTATGATGGTTGAGTCCTGGAGGAAATGTTTGCTCTCTTTGTTATTATCACTGTGAATGATTTCTCTGCTCCTGCCTTAGGTGATTTGCCCATTGGTGCAAAACCAGGCTCCATGTTAGTGGTCTTCTACCCACTCTTGTTCTAGTCATTGTGTTGAGCACCAGAGAGCTTTGTATCATCTGGCGATATTTAAGGTTTGCTAATGGTCCAGATTGAAATTCAGAACCTTCAATAAATAGATCAATTCTTGCTGTGACTGGTAGATTACAGCACTAATCACTTGGCAGAAAAGGAAATGCTGAAATAAATTGGGTAGCACAAGGAGGGCCCGAGAGTATTTGACATTTGTCTGAAATGGACCCGGTCTGTCTGTCACTGGCATGGGCTCTAATAGTAAGAGTCTGTGTTTCTTAAATCCTGCGATTATCCCAGAGCATGGGCCATGCAGAGCACTAGTGATTGAAATAGAAAAGAGGTTTAGCTCCAGTGGCCTTTAATGATTAGAAAAGAGATGTGGGTGCTCCAGATTATTGCACACATTTCACTTGCAGTGACTCTACATGGTGACTGCAAATGCATTGAAAATATTTATGGTAAGTTTTGATAAAACACACAATGGCCTGAACTTTTGCCCAGTACCAGAAGCCAAGTAGGACATAGGCCTTCATTTTAGAGAGTTCATTTATGCGTTTCTGACTTTAAACATTCCCGTGTACTAATGGGACATTAAGAACTGTGGTTAGCCCAAGATGAAAAGTTGGAAGGGCTACTGCTTGGATAAAATGATTTTCGTATGTTTTCATATAATCGCTTAGTGAGCTGCATCCCATGAGGTCATAATGGAGGCCTCACAACAGCTAACCCTAAATCACTGATGGAAGCCTATCTGTGTATCTACAACTTTACTTTGTAAAGGTCTGTTGACTCCCTCACTCACCCTGCCCATCCCTGACTTGTTAAGGGAGACTATTTGGTCCCATATTTAAAACCAGAAATGGAAAGTTGTTTTGGTTTTCCTTAATAAAATTTTCACAAATTTGGCTTTTAACATATAGATCAAAGTTCTCCATGAAACTTTCTTTCTACTAAAGGAAGGCAGCGAAGTCAGCTATGCAGTAATCTGTAATCAAAGCAAAGACTTTCTGGTTTCTCCATCTGCCCATATATGTGTCATGCATCTTGTGCATTGCATTTTTAAACTTTTCTTGATGAGTTATAAAAAAAATACAATTAAAAATCTTTAAACTCACTTCTTTAGATATGGAAATGGTAAGGTTCTTGTGTATGGTACTGGGTGAATGCTAGTGTGTATTATTATATCTGTCCTGGATTTGAAAGTGAAGTATCACGTATTTAAGCTGCTTTCTGATTCTGTTTCTGTTTCCTTTGCTTTTTTCTACATACAGGCAGATTTTCATGCAGAGAGTCTATGATTTAGTAGCAAGCTCTGGATTTGAGTTCAGGAATTAGATGGCAATGCTCACTGCTACTGTTGCTGGTTTGTTTGCATACATTTGATTATTTTCATACAGCGTTTCATTTAATTATCAACAAATATCCTCTGTGGCACTTACCTACATTTCATAGGTAAAAATATCAAAGCTTCAAGAAATAACATGTTGCAGACTTGGAAGCCTGCAGGGGAAGGGACAGGCCAAGTTAAGTATGATTGCCAAGTCCACGTTCCTCGCCATGTGTATGAGTGTGGGCCAGCTTTGCACACCTGATTTGTTCAATTCCCTGAGGCCCAATTAGTACCATACAAACTGGCCACAGAGCTATCTCTTTCACAGGACTCCGTGTATATTAAATGAGATGACTTGTGTGAAAATACATTATGAACTGAATGTTTGTGCTTCCCCTAAATTCATAGGCAGAAGCCTAATCCCCAGTATGATGGTGTTTGGAGGTGGAGTCTTAAAGAGGTAATTATACCATGAGGGCAGAGAAAAAAACAGTCAGCCAATATACAAGACCCCAGTGAGGGGCTTCTCTGGTGGTGAAAGGATTAAGTCTCAACACTATGAAGCTATCCACAGCCACTGAAGCATGAGTTAGATCCCAGGCCAGGGACCTGACCCACATGGCACAGCAGACCTCTCCTGTCTCCCAACTGCTCCCCTCAGCAGTGTATTTTAGTCAATTTGCCTGTTCTGCTCCCCACCCTGTCTCTGGTGAATCCTCTCTCTGCCTCCCACAGCTCTTGTATGCATAAATATACAAAATAAATCTTAAAAAATAAAGAGACCCCCATGAGACCCTGGCCTCTTCAGCCATGTGAGGTTACAGAGAAGGACCTCACCAGATACTGAATTTCCTGGCTTCTTGATCTTGGACTTGCTCCCTCTAGACTGAGAAATAAATATTTGTTGTTTCTATCACCCAGTTTGTGATAGGTTTGTTATAGCTTTGTGAGCAAACGAAGACAAAGACTCAGCAGTATTTGTCTAAGACATGGAGGAGTTGACAAATATTTGTTTAATTTGAAGATACCCACCCATATCCATGACTCGAGAAAATTACAATTGGCTGAAGGAAGACACTGATTTTTGCTGAACTGCCTAGAAAAACTAATAGGACACAATAAGTAATGGCACAGTTTGATCAGAAAATCTGAGAAATGAGAATGTGTATTTTCTTTCCTTTTGGTTCAAGAAAGTATTGATGTACCCCGCAGAGAGAAAAAAACAGCCAGCTATTTTTCACAGCATTAGTTAAATTACTCCATAAGAAACTATCTCTCAACATACAAAATAAATAGCACCAGGCTTGAAAACATATTAGTAGTTCAGGAATTCAACAACTCGACACTATTTCATTCTGAAGAACAAAATTAGAAATTCCCATTAATATAGTCTTTGCAGACTGGAGAGTATATATGAAAAAACATGGAGTAGAATTTCATAATGAATTTATGGTGTTTTTCTTTGCTGTACATTTTGGCTCTCTGTGAAAGCCACAAATGTGAACATAAGTTATAATGGAGTTTAAAAGAAGATGAAGCAGAAGAAGGAACAGGAGGAGGAGAGGAAGAAAAATGATAGTTGCAAAATACTATACCATTGTAAAAGTAGATCATTTTAATGACCAAGTGGGGAAAAAGAACCAGTAATAAACTATTATACAAAGAAGCTAAAACGTTTTTTAAATGACTATGGAAATTGATACTCACACAGCAAGAATGAGTTTTTGTTAAGAATAATTTTTAGTACCATCACTGGAGAAGGAGGACTCTATGTATGTACATATATGTGCATGTGTGTATATGTGTGTCCATAGAGAGATTATATATGTTATGTGAGAAATTTTCATTTTTATGATAGAAAGGAACATCTTTCTAAATAATGGCATGCTCAATCTAATGCTTATTTCTTATTTGCTTTTGTACCTGATAGGATGCTTGAGTTTCTTCCTTGGTGCATTCTGCACTTAATATTAGAATCACTCTAGATACTAGAAGCAGGGAATATCACTGGATCTCTCCAATTACTGCCATGATTTGGGTTTAAAGTATATTGCCTTCCTTGTTTAAATATTTAACACAAATAACTCCTTTGTTATTTTTTGATGGGCCATCCAAAAGTTCAAGCATTATGCAAAAATATAGGCCATTGACACCATCCTTGGAATAGAGAGAGGGAAATCATTTCAGTTCTCCTGGAACTACCTTTTCATCTATTTTTTTAAGAATTATTTTTATTTATACATACAAGAACTGGGGTACAGGCCAGAGGTTTGGAGAGTGAGAGGATTCACCAGAGACAGAGTGGGGAACAGAACAGGCAGACTGACTGAAATACACTGCTGAGGGGAGCAGCGGGCAAGTCAGGAGAGGTCTACTGCACCATGTGGGTATCTCCCTGGCTGGCCGGGGATTGAACTCATGCTGTGGAGGCTGCAGATAGCTTCATGGTGCTGTGTTTAACTCCTTGTGCCACGAGGGAGGCCCCATCAATGTTAGTTCTGCCTTCAGCAAGCTGGAGAAGTCTAGGTAGGCTTTAGATGTAATGTGTACCGTCATCAATAGAATATCTATTTTGTTTTTATCATGCTCATTGTCAGATTTAGGCTTTGTGAAACTGAAGCTGATACAATTAGGGGGATTATTAAAGAAATGTGATATCATAAGTACAAAATTAGGTGTGAGTATGAATGTAGAATTAGATGAAAACTCACAAAATGCATATTTTAAAAAACATATATATTACATAAATGGAAAACGAACATAGACTTTTTATACTATGTTTTATGTATGTTTCTACCTACTATTTCTTATCCTACTCATAATACAGGAGAATTGTTTTGAATATTTTCTCTAAGGTGAACAAAAAGACAAGTCATTTTTTCCTCTAATATGGTTGATTTCCTTTTCTGATAGGTTATAAAAATATATTTACTTATCAAGTATTGGTGACATCCTGTAGTTTTTAAGAATGTTGTCAAATTGAAATCTAGTTTCTTACATACAAGGACTATGAGATGTGGAAATTTTCATATATTACTTTCTGGGGAAATAAGAAATACGATTCTTCTGCTCCTGTACCATTCTCCATTGCCAGGAACATGTTTTCATGTGACCTCTGACCCTTTGCTCCTTTATGATAACACAATGACCTCATTTTTGATCCATTTCCCAAGTGACTATACATACATATCCAGCACACTAAAATTAAATGTATATGCTTGTCAAATCTTCCCTTCCCTTAGCCAGATCCCCAAAATGGCCTTTGTCGCGTCAATGCCATCACACAGTATAAAAGAGAGACCCTAAGCCCAAGTTTCAGGGTGGATCCATCTCTAAAAAGTAAACACATAGAACAACAACAATGAGGAAATGAATGGAAAGAGAACATTTCAGAGGTGAGTTAATGACGAGACCCCTGCTGTTGCAGGGAATTAAAACTTTACTCTCGTGGTCCCGGGAAGCAGCTGGGAGGGGTGACTTCAAGTGCTGATGTGAGCACAAGGGAAAGATGATGGACCTCCTGCAGAGATGCACATCCAAAAATAAGTAGGACTCATGCTTTGGTGGAGAAGATAAGGGTTTTGAAAAAGATAAGTATGATTTAAGAAATGCTGAACTTCAATTTTACATGGAAGCAAAGTATAGAGATCTGCTAGGCAATTAAAAAATAATGTCAATAGCTAGTAGAGATATATAGAAAATACGTGGATATAGAAATTAAAATGGAGTATCCTAGAGTAAGGCGATAACTCATAAAAACTGTGAAGACAAAAATAGAAAACCAGAGTTAGAACCTAAAAACATATTAACATCTGAAAGATGAATGAGACAGAAACTTGCAGGTATCCCCACAAACATAAAATTCCAGATCTGAGAAAGAGCCAACTTTCATGAATCAGTAGTATATACAGGACTTCAGCCTCACCTGGATCTCTTTTACTTCTTCTCACACACACACACACACACACACACACACACACACACACACACACCACTCTTCACATTTGAAAGGAAAAGAAATATGTGGCTTGAGACCATTTGTGATGAGTTATTTCAATGCCCTTTTTTACATGCCTTTTAAAAAAGAAATGGCTTCTATTTCTAACAAGATTAGTCAAAATGGCACATGAAAAAAATCTCAGAATTAAGGAACAATATTAAGTGTGAAGGTATCCCATTTGGACGTGGATCACTCTCAAAGAATATGGTGTTACACCTCGGGGCTTAGCTGCAACTGTGAAAATGGAAAAGTTGGCTAGTTCATTTAATAGTTAAATCTTTAATGGCAAACTTCCTCTGCACTCTTCTAGACGTGGTGGCCAGTTAGGGCCTGCATTTCCTTCGGATCCTGAACAGAGAGCGCCTTCTAACTTGCTTTCTTACCATCACCAACCGCTCTTCCTCCCCTTTAAGTTAATTCCTCATGTGTCCAAGGCTGAGCTAATTAAAATGCTAAAGATCACTGCCTAAAATGCATCAATAGCTTCCCACCGCGTCCAATTTCCATAACATGGAAAAAGCCACTGGCTTCTCCCCAACTCTCCACTCTCTTTCCCCAATTCCTGCCTTGGATTTATCTTCCAGAAAGACTTTTTTTCTCTCTTTATACTCAGCATGCAACTTCTCACGTCTGTGCTTTTGATTTTTCTGACTTTTCTTCCTGGAATGCCTTTGTTTTATCATCTGGCTAATTCCTACCCATGTTTAATAGCTCAGGGGATGTTTCCTGTAAGAAGCTGCCCCTTTAGATCCTCTTCTGACTTCCTTTGTCTGTCCTGACAGCTTTTACAATAAATTGTCCACATCTTCACATTCCACCAGTCTTTTAAAATAATAGTTTGGAATCTGTGTCTTCCTTAGTCAATCTAGTTTCTTCCAGAACAAAAACTAATGTATTATTTGATGTATTTTTATTTTACATTGATTGGTACAATCTATGGCACAAAGTAGGCACTCAATAAACATTTTCTTTATGAACCAGTAGCTTTATGTGTTTGGGGAAAGTGAATAATACACTTTTCCCGAATACATAAAGCAATTGGTTCATTCTCCACAGGTAGCAGGTTTGGGGAGAGCCAATTTACCTCCAAGAAAGGACTCTGAGGAAAGAACTAGATCCTTTGAGGTCTTTTAAACTACTGGAAGCTGCAGGAGTCCATTAATAGGCTACAGCACCCTTGACCATGAAACACCAACAGCTAAATAGGAGGTCACACAAGAACCAACATAGTGCAGTTTGCACAAAGTGACATGATTAACTTGAAGACCAATTCTTCCCACTTTACTTCATCTTTCATGCATAGTTTAGCAAATATTTATTGAAGGGTGTTCAAAACTAATGCATCCCACATCCCATGTGATGGCTAGATATAATTCACATGAAGAATATATTCGAGGCAGCTAAATCACAAGTTAGAGAAAGTGAAATTCACTTACTCCAAAATTTGATCCCTTTCTTAACTTTTAGTACTTAGTTCAATCATGGGTGTGATACAGCACAGTGGAAAGATGAGGACACACAGGTGGCTCGTTCATGAATCCCTGTTCATTGATGGATTTCATCCTTCCCCTTACATCTCCACAGGGCTAACCACAACCCCTCTTTATTATATCACAGTGTTAAGAACCATGTAGTTGTAACTGTATGGGGCAAACTAATTAGTACATTACCTTCTACCCAGCATTCTCAGCACACTCAGCCCAAGAAAATGTAAGACAGGAATCCAGACGTGTTAAAGTGAATCTCATATTTCAAAATGTCTAATATGAATCATGTCATTTGGGGAAGATTCCCATGATTTGGAAATTTGATGATTGATAAATTATTGTGCATTGGTGGTTCTGTGGCTCTTACATAATCTATTGTCCCAAATTTACAAAGCTTAGACAAACATCGTAATTAGGTGTCATTATCAAAAGCGTATTTTTAAATTGATACTAGTGGTTTTAAATGTGATTGATAAAGAAACTTAGCATTTTATCGGCTACCAAATGTGAACAACAGAAACAAGCTATTGTTTCATGAAAATCTAAGTATTCCTTCCTCATGCAGATATTTGGTTTCCAAAATATTTATTGTAAGATCTGGGGCAATTATGTTCAACATGACAGTTGCTTATAATGACAAAAGCAACTTAGTTCTGCACCAAAGTCATGCCATTTGCTAATGTAAACTGTAGGGATTCAAATTCTCTTTTCATAAGTAATTTGAAAATTTTAATTTGTCTCTTCTTGACCTGGCTGTAAGTCATGCAGAAGGAAAACAGCTTTAACACCAACCAGAGTCAGTTGTGTTTTTCAGATTTTAGACACAAATCTAGCTGAACTCAGGTGTCTATTACTATCATTACCATCATCATCATCATCATCTTTATCACCATCACCAGGTATAACCATTGCGATAACTTCTCTGTAACAAATGCTAGATGTCCAATATTTGGAATGAGTGAGATTTTACAAAATATTTTAAAGTCTAGTTCAAGTTAAATAAAAAAAAACTGTCTAGCCCAGGTTGTCACCTAAGACTGTCCATGAATATTGATACATAATTAAATAACAAACCAGCTGAGTATCAGTTCCCACCCACAAACTCCCTCCTCTTCCTGCAAGGACACTACCCCTTCCCAGGTGTGTTCAGCACTTCCCCCTTCTCTTTCACCTCTCCAGTTTTGGAGCCAACCCAACACTCAGCAATTAAAATTCATAAGGTAGACTGGGGTGATAGCCCAGGAAGGTTAAAAAACGTGCGAAGAGGGGGTCCTCCCTGGTGGCACAAGAGGTTAAGACTCAACACTATGAAACTATCAGCAGCCACTAAGTATGAGTTCAATCCCCAGCCAGGGAGCTGATCCACATGGCCCAGCAGACCTCTCCTGTCTCCCTGCTGCTCCCCTCAGCAGTGCATTTCAGTCAATCTGCCTATTCTGCTCCCCACTCTGTCTCTGGTGAATCCTCTCACCTCCCACACCTCTGGCCTGTGCCCCAGTTCTTGTATGCATACATAAATAAAAAAAAATCTTTAAAAAAAAGTTAGAGGTCAAGAAAATAACTTAAATGTATATGTTCGCCTATTGGAGAGACTCATGTGAAACAACCATACAGCAAAGCTGGGGGGAAGGATCCAAGCCAACGTAGGGCCCTCTCGAGACACTGACCATGTAAAATGTACTACGGGCAGAGGTGGTGTGGACAGATATGTGTAGCCAGAGACTAGGAAACTTGATGGTGGTTTGGATAAATCTCACATTCAATTTCTCAATTTCAGTTGCTTCTATGACTTGTACCTACACTAGGAGCTCTTGAGCCTTTTCCAGAGTGTTGCAGACCTGTAGATTTCTCATTGTCTTGCTACCAAGAGGGCTGAGTGCAAACACAAAAGTATAATGAACACAATTGAAAACTGAAAACTCCATGGTTTGAAGTTGTATGGCTTACAGAACTTCAGAAGTGTGTGCCTGCCAGGAAAAGAAACTGAATCACTGCACTTCCATCTCTACAGAGGAGGGAAGCCAATGCCTATAAGACATATGTCTTTATTTACTCAAACATAAATCAAATGGTCCAGGAACTTGTGCAAGTAAATCGGATTCCATTTGTATGTTTTTCCTGACACATAAATCTAGCTGCATGCAGAATGGCATGAATAATGCAGGAACTAAGCTCCCAGAGTGAATAATCTTTCATTGAAAACCTGAGACTGATGGCTGACCATACAGAAATGAGCTTGGCACCATGGAGACAAATGCAAGAAAACACATAAGCAGCCTCTATGTATCTATTTTTCTCCTCATGGATTTCAATGTTCTAATGCACATGAAATCAGTATTATGCCAATGACAAGTTTGCTCCTTTGGCTGCATTAAATGACAACGATGTTATTAATAATAATAATAATAATGTAATAAATCTTAGCCATCGTTTTTTGTATTACTGCTCATTTTATGCATGATACACTACTCACAGTGATCTAGTGACATGGACATCATTATCATTATTATGTTAAAGGAAGAGGAAAAAGGATGTTAATAACTAATCCAAGATCATTCTGTTCAAGTGCAGAGTTAAATTTAGTTTCTCTGACGCTGAAGCCATATCACTAAACACTGTTCTTCTCTTGAACTACATAGTCTTTGATTATGGTGGCAAGACCAAAGAAGCTGACAGAGGAAAACAAATACAGAAAAGCAAGATACCTCAAAACCCTAAGGATAAAGTGAAGAACAAATCATGAGCACACAGTACAAAACTAAGTTAAGTTTCCCCAGGGGATCATTATTTCAGCAGCTTAAGGATTTGTCACCTACTTGTCTAAAAGATTCAGAGAGGAAAAAAAAAAAAAAAAAGAAAAAGAAACCCTATCTGGAAACCATAACAGAGTTATGAAGACCTTCCATCCTCTGATAAAAATCCATCCTCTGATTAGCTCAGATGTGTGGTTTATAACTTTTTTCCTCTTTTATCTGATGTGGCATGGAGGCAAAGAAGCTTGGTCACAGTGATTAACACAAAAGGTTAGTCACTTAGGGGTCTGATAAGATCAATCTCTCTCTTTCGTGCATCCAATATGAAATTCCATATGAATTATGTCTTCAATGCACAATCCATGTTGTCTTGCAAATATCAATCCTCTGTTACTATAGAAGAACTCTTCTCTATAATGGGGTTCCTATTTCTGGTCACTCGCCACTTACCAAATATCTAGTCACCCTTGCTAAACTCATTCCCACACTGGAATGAATGTGTCCTGCATCTTGGGATGGCCAACACCCCACCCATACTAAAATCAAATCTCACAGGCCAATTTCTCACACAAGAAGTTTGAGCCAGTGCAGCCAAAATAAATAAATAAATATGCATCATCCTATTCCTGTAGCAATTAACTTACCTCAGAGGGAATACTCAGTTTGTTGCTTTATAATTTCTGAATAATTTAAATATCATTTGTCTGTATCTATCCTCCATTCTCAATCCAGGAATTTGAAAATATTGTTCAAATATGTTGCTGAATAAGTCAATTTTGTTCTGTTTAACATTTTATACTTCAATTCATACATCATACATATGTAATTTTTTTTTAATAATCTACCTCCATGACTTTTCTATCAGTGGAAGCAAATGACCAAAATATAGTTACTGGTCAATGTGCAAGATTTGAACAACTAATAGTGGTGTGAATGGTGAGGGTTTAGCTTTCACATATGGCAGGAAGATGGATAATAAAACCTCAAAGTTGGAATATTTTAATTTGCTATTTGAACTTGGTCTACCATACCTTCATTTTTTGGCCATATTCATTCTTCAGGGGAAAAAAATGGAGAACTATCTAGTGACAGGTGATGTTGATTTTCCTATATAGAAGATCTGAGATCATATGTGTTGTGGTAAACTGGCTTTGGCATTATTTTAATGACTTCCAAAGCGATCACTGGATCACTGGTTATTGTTTCTCTATAGCACCTTTTGCTCCTGCAGAATCTCTATCATTATGCCAGCTAGACTGCAATTGTTGGTGTTCTATGCAAAACATAAATAGTATAAATGCGTAATTAATAAATTCAAAACTAGGCAGGAAATGTTAGGGTATTCTTCAGCTGCAGCCACTTTGAGTGGAAATGTACAGCAATAACCCATTTTTAATATTTCAACATCTGGTTAGTTATCTGTGTAAACTAAGACAAATTAGAGCAGGAAAGAAATAAAATGAGTGTGCTGAAACCATCACAGAATGATGTCACACAAAAACATGAATTCTCTTTACAGAGTTTAAAAGGTAATCAAAGATTCTTTCTTCAGGTTTTAGTAACATTGCAGCTAATGGAAGTCAATGTGTTCAGGTCATAGGCAGGCCAGCTTAGAATGAAGTCACAGAAAAGAAAATGAAGATGGAGTCAAAGATTAAGTTAATTAGGATTTCTTAAGATAATATTTAATTTCATGAAGGATTTGAAGCTAGAAGATTGTTTCCTCACATCACAAAGTACATCAAACATGCACACGTTCAGATTCTGTACAGGTATTCTTGGCCAACAGAATTCACAACCTCCAGAAGATAGAACTAATGCCAATTATAATAGTCTGTGGAATCCAGGAGCACGCAAATGGATATAATTCATGGTAAAATATAAGGTGGTATTTCCGTACAAATATGGGCTTCCCTGGTGGTGCAGGAGTTAAAGACAGTGCTATCAATCTATCGCCAGCCACTGCAGCATGAGTTTGATTCCAGGTTGGCCAGGGAGCTACCCACGTGGCACAGCAGACCTCTCCTGTCTCTCCCGCTGTTCCCCTCAGCAGTGTATTTCAGTCAATCCACCTGTCCTGCTCCACAGTCTCTCTGGTGAATCCTCTCACCCCCCACACTGCTTTATACCACTTCTTGCATGCATGCATAAATAAATAAATAAATCTTTAAAAAAATACAATCCAATATTTTTCACAGGTCCCTGGTTTTTATCTCATTTTGCCTGGGAAGTGCACCTTGATGCTGAACTACATTTGGTAAGAAATGAATGCTTAAAATATAGAAGAATATAAGTTTGTGTCTTGGTATGTGGCGTGTAAAAACTTTGAGGAAGAAACATAAGTGTTAGGAAACTGATCTTTGAATCAATATTGTCCACAAGAACACATGAAATTGGGTTTTATCTATAATTTTGAAATATTAAAAAAAAAAGAGGTCCTTAGAGAAAATGGGGGCAATTTGGCAGCTCACTTATTAGGGTTTGGAGATTTTCACTTAGGCAGTCAGACGTATTTTTGAAATGCAATGTTATATTTTTTTTTCAATGTTATATTTTTGAAGGGGAATTGTGAGTGGCAGTGATACTTCCAGCAGGAAATGAAGTCTTATTTACATGTCAAACATCCTTATAAAATTGGGCCTCCCCGGCGCAGTGGGATGAGCGCAGCGCTGTGAAGCTGTCTGTAGCCTCTGCAGTGCGGGTTCGATTTCAGGTCGGCCAGGGAGATACCCCCATGGTGAGGCAGACTTCTCCTGCCTCGCCAGTTGCTCCCCTCATCAGTGTTTTTGGTCCTTCTGCCTGTTCTGCTCCCTGCTCTGTTTCTGGTGAAATCTCTCACCCTCCTGTGCCTCTGGCCTGTACCCCAGCTCTCGTTTAAATAAATAAATAAATCTTTAAAAAAAAAAACTTAAAAAATTCTTATAAAAATTCTTTTAGAATTTATTATTGCTCTACTTTTAGTGATAGTGAAGCTGAAACTCAGAATAGACTGTTTATCATACAAGTACATGTGGCAGAAGCAGAAAGCAAATCCCAGTGGCTCAATCTCCAAGTTCACATATTGGACTGCTTTCCCAGGGTCTTTGAATAAGAGATGAGAGCCAACATTTCAGTTTGAAATACATTTGGGTCACTGGCCATTGACTATGCCCTGAACTTGTTGCTGTTGTAGGTTGGCACATGGAGAGAACAGCACAACATATTGCCCTTAGGTGTAAGAACTAAGACCTACATCCCTATCTCGCCCTTTAGAACTAACTTTTCTCCTTCTCTGTCCTATACCCTGCCAAACTGGCATCCTAGGGGTTCACACCCAAACTTCCTTGCCTTCCGGATCTTGATTAGTTGCCCAAATGAGAATAAGGAGAGAATAACATGCACATTTCTTCCTGCCCCAGCTGCTTGCCAGCACCAATGATTATATTCCCCTAAACTTTGGTTCATGTTGGACAGTTTCTCTTCTCCCTCTTCCCTTCACAACTTTTGCTGAATCCTACCAAACCCTTTCACCTTATGTTCCCTGATACGTAGAAGTGGTAAATGAACAGTCTTTCTAGTTCTTGGAAATCTCAGTAATTGGTTAACTTATCCCTACCCACACCTCTGCAGTTAGTCTCTTCATGAAATTCTCATCAAAATCTCCATTACATGCATTGGTTTGACTTTTTGGAATCCTGGGTGATTTAAAAACTATCAGATTAGAAATCTCTATAAATGCAGGTCCTTACTATCATTATTTTTTTAAGATTTATTTTATTTATTTATTTATTTATTTATTTATTTTTTATAGAGGCATGATTTATTTATTTATTTGTTTGTTTGTTTGTTTGTTTATACATGCACTGGGTACAGTCAGAAGCGCGGGAGGGTGAGAGAATTCACCAGAGCCAGAGCGGGGAGCAGAGCAGGCAGAAGGACCGAAGGACACTGCTGAGGGGAGCAGCGGGCGGCAGGAGAGGTCTGCGCGCCATGTGGGACCCTCCTCTGGTGGTCGGGGAGCAGCCAGGGATCGAACTGGCGCCGCAGAGGCCGCGGGCAGCTTCGCAACCCAGTGCTCAACCGCTGCGCCACCGGGGAGGCCCTTTATTTTATTTATTTATGCATACAAGAACTGGGGTGTAGATCAGAGGCGCAGGGGGTGAGAGGATTCACCAGAGACAGAGTGGGGAGCAGAACAGGAGGATCCACTGAAATACACTGCTGAGGGGAGAAGCAGGTGAGACAGGAGAGGTCTGCTGCACCATGTGGGTAGCTCCCTGGCTGGTGATTGAACTCCTGCTACAGTGACTGCTTCTGTCCGTGCCTCCTTCCTTCCTTCTTACCTCTTTTTTCATGTTTCTTTTAAGGCTTTGCTACAGGGCACGCCAATGTGAAATGGGTTGCCTGGCTGTGGGCCCTCACCAGCACGCTTAAAAGGGACTTATAATGAGACTCAACTGCAGATACACACAAAAAGTTTAATAAAGGGCCTATTTACGAAAAGGGGAAATGAAGAAAGGAATAATCCAGGAAGAAAGAGAGATAAAATGGTGAATGCGTCCTATTAGTCCCACTGAGCTAGAACCCCAACAGCATGCTGAAAGCTGGCAAAGAACCAAGCACCTCCCAGGCCCACATGTCTGGTTATATACCAAGTCTGGCTGCTAACCCCACCCTCAGTTCCCAGCAACCCTCCCTTCAGTGGTGATGGCATTATGGGATTTGCAGTGCTTGGCGCCTTGAATCTCTTTGGTCTGGGGTAGGGGTGGGGGCCCATAAAACCTACTTGTGGAGTTTGTTCAGGACAACCTCTCCCCCTCAACAGTTTGAAATGTCTATAGGAGAAGCTAAACAAGTAACTGAGATTTGCAGGCTGCAATTAATGGAAAAGAACATCTGAACTTCAGAAATAGGTGCAAATAAATAAAAATGGAAGACATGGGTACAGGAGTAATGAATATATAGAGCACCATTGACATCACCCCATCACTAAAAGGCAACAGCACTGAAAGTCTTGTGAGGAGAAAGTGATTAAAAAAAAAAATCTCATACACAGATAAGTTAAGCAGTATGTTCTAAGTCTTATTCGTAATCAAGAACAAGAGACAAAACTTGAATCTACATGCCCACATAAGATCTCTTTCCACTGAACACAAATTTGCCTCATTTTCTTAATAGTTAAATTATAGCATGGGGATTTTAGAAATGTCAGCTACGTCTACAGTAATATTTTAACCTTATGTATTAAATATCCATGGATAATTTATAGCCAATTTTTGCCCTGTAACAACCCACTCTGAAACTTAGCCACTTAGAACAATAATTATTTACTAATTTTCATAAATCTGTGGGTCAACTCAGACGTTCTTCGAGTTTGGGTTAGACATCTGGGGCAGATGGTCTAGGATGACCTCACTGGCTCACTGGGGGTTGGCTCAAGGTCAGAGAGGTGGGGTGAGGTGATGAGGTCACTTGTATCTCCTTCCCCAACAGAATAGTCAAGTCTTGCAGGTCCCCAGCTCCAGGGGTCCAGTACTTAACATCCTTTGTTATTGTTCCTTTGGCTAAATCCAAAGTTGCAGGGGATAGGACCAAGCCAAGTGTGGAGATACCCAGAGGACCTTTCTTTTGGCAAATTTTGCAAACAATCTACCACAGATATTCAGATTTATAGCCATTGCTCACTTTAAAAACAATGTCATTTATAATTTTCATCTAGTTTCTGGCTGTAGGATCTGTCTCCTGGTGTGAGACTGTGAAATTTCCCTGATAGGAACAGAACTCTTAGAAGGTTCAGATGAAAGGTGGAGTATTCATTTATTATTTTTTTCTTAACTCTAATTAATAGCATATTTTACCAATGTAAAATATTAGACTTTGGAATCTGAAACCTTTTCTCAACAGGAAAGGATATTATTTTTCTTTTCTTTCTTTTTTTTTCGGGGGGAAGAGGAATATTCTAAACCCTTAAGAATATTCTATGAAGAAAATTTTTAGGACTTTAATTCATAGAAAGCTTAGGAAATTTGCAGTCCTCTAAAGGGCCTAAGCAGAGTTAATATTTAATAAATTTGAAAAGAAAATTTCTGCCTGAATCATCTAATTCAGAACATGTTGATAGGGGACCAGCAGAACAAAGTGTCCCCAGTATGAAAATCCTCTATATTTTATTTTACTTACAAGTGGTGACAAAATCTTGAAAACAAATATCTTTCAAAGAAATTTGATGAAACAAAAAGTATTTTGTTTCAGATACATGGAATAAATCTTGTAAGTTTTAAGTGGTTTCCTGAACAAGAAGACTATGAAAAAATGCCAAAGATGGTTTTTCTAGGCATTTCCTTCAAGAACAGAGTTTCAAAGACTTGAAAGGTTTTTGTTTTTGTTTTGTTTAACTTTTAAAGCCAGTAGCTCAAATATTATTTATGGCAGATCTTTTTCCTTTGAGCTATTTGAAGGTATATCTAGGATATAGTAAGCTAGCATCCCTGGCTATGTTTACAGACATACCACATACAACAGCAGATTATTCAGTGTTCACACAATTCACACACATACACATGCACACACACTCCACCTTGGTCTAAAGCTAACTAAATATACTTGTGGGTATTTTTTGTCATTCAGAAAAGTCTTTAGTGTCTTGTTAATTTTGTGTGGAACATCAGAATTTCTGAGGGTTTCATCTGAAAGAAGAATAATTATAAAAGTTCAATATTTTAATCACTAGTATAAAAATGTTTGAATGGCTTCTTTTCATTTATTTGGAACTTTATCTGGAGTCCCCCGGACACACACTTTCTAGGAAAGTCCTATCCTGATGGCCTCTGCCTGTTTGAAATATTGGCTCCATCTTTCCTGTAGACTGATTTTAGGTAAGTCTTGCTCTCCTCTTTCATTTGTTTATTTGAGCTTCTGTTACCTAAACCCCCTGGTTCAATAAGACTGGGTGAACGCACAGATTTGACAAGCTATAGTAAATTTTAAAGAATATTTCTAGTGTTTTGACATTTATAATTGTGCCCTAAATTCCTATATTTCATAGATCATGATTATATTTCATGAGTATAATATAAAATATATGAAAATTAAACAGTATCCCAGCAAAGTATTTTTGTGAGGCAAAAGGTTAGCCATGATATGTAGAAATGAATATAATTAAACTCAAGCCAGAATTTTACTGGACCTTGTTTTATGGGCTTTGAGAATTCTTTTTTTTTTTTTAAATCAGATCTTTCGAGATGTAGTTTGGAATGTTTTTAATATATTCCAGCATTTTTCAATCTCACCTTATTCATGTTGGGGCCCGGATTATTCATTATTTTTAAGGTATGCTTGTACATTGCAGGATATTTACTGACACCCCTGGATCCTTCCCACTGGATGCCAGGAGCACACTCCCATCCTTCCTTGTAGTGGTAAGAAAACTGCTTCCAGAACTTGCCAAACAGCTCCTGGAAGGTTCAATACTCCTCAGTTGTGAACTGAGGATTACTGTAACTGTTTCTCTGTATGTGTTTCTCTGTGAATCTTTGGAACAGTGAGCAAACTTTTAACCTTAGCCTAAATCAAGTTGTATGACTTTATAACAATCTTAGAGCTTCAGACATTATAAATAATAAAATGGCATAGTTATGGATCATATTCACCACATATTCATTCATTTTTTTTTTTTCTGGCAGGCTGGGTGAGGGGCTCAGTAAGAGACCAGATCCCAGCCCTGCCTTCTGACCCCTGTGTCAGTCTGCATGCATAGCCCGTCCCTTGAGAGTGACTGTCCCTCTGCCTAACCTGTCATGCAAGGGGTCCGTACACTTACTCTATTATACAATAATTATACCTTCCCTACTCCATTTATTCAATTAAACTCTTCCCACCCAATTTTATGAGAAAATAAGTAAAGTGTCAGCAAGGTTTGCTAGTTAGTCCCAGTCACACAGTTAGCAAGCTGATGTTTGAATTGAGTTCTCTCTGATGCTGAAACCCACATCTCTCACTGTGAATTGTTAGGGTATGGATGTGAATGATTATTTTCCTTTGCTTCCTTTCAAATCTGCCCATCTTATGGTTTAAGCATTAAAGTAAATTATGCTACCTCTGCTGAGTTCCTGATGAGAAGTCAAATGCTACTATTTTCTACCCCCACCCCCTCCATAGTGGTTGGGTGAGCAGAGGAATATCACTTAGACTAGATTACTCACAAAGTCTCTATGATCTTGAAAGTGATTGGTCAGATTCATTGTTTATACTGTAAAGCAAAACAATTAAGGTGATTACCTGATATATAAGTCAATATATATTTTAACATCCAAGGGCATAACTCACTTAACGGAGTGTAAAAGATACAAAAAATTGAAATCCACAGGGCCTCCCTAGTGGTTCAGGGGTTACTGTCTCAGGACAATCAAGCTATCACCAGCCACTGCGGCATGAGTTTGATTCCCCAGCTAGGGAGCTACCCACATGGTACAGCAGACCTCTCCTGTCTCACCTGCTGCTCCCCTCAGCAGTGTATTTCAGTGAATCTGCATGTTCTGCTCCCCACTCTGTCTCTGGTGAATCCTCTCACCCACCACATCTCTGGCCTACAACACAGTTCTTGTATTCATAAATAAATAAATCTTTAAAAAGAAATTGAACCCCACAAAAATAACCAACATGCAAATCCAAATGAAATTTGATAGGGAGATTTACTGATGATACCAAACTGTCCAAAAGATTTCCCTTCCTTCTCTTCCCTCTATCCATCATCTATCTTTGTTTCATGCTATTTTCCCTTTTTAAAATAACCATCATGCTATTGAGTTGATGAATTTGGTGATAGAGGACACACTAACATCATAAATTTAATGTGTTACTTAAATGAATTTGTGCAGTGAAGGACAGATTATACCATCATCATTATTGAAATAATTTGGAAAAAGTCCATCCAATCAGATTGCCTAACTGAATTAGGACTCTATTCCTGATTTAATAAAGTTTAAATCTACATTTCTAAATTGAAGGAAGTATTACAAAAAAAAGCCCTCCCTTCTGTGATAATTCTGGTATTCATTGCATCTAAGGGTTCATCCTACAATTTTGTCATTCACTGTGTCCAGGTGAGAGGCTTGGTTTTACAATTAAGCAGGGATCTCAGAAGGAAATTAGCATAAATTAATCCACCATAAATGCTTATTATGCAGTTATTTACACATTTAAAAAATCCTGATACACAATGGAATACTATTCAGCAACCTAAAAAGATAAATTCATGCCATTCACAGCAACATGGATGGAGCTAGAAGAAATTATGCTCAGTGAAGTCAGAAGGAAAAAGAAAAATATTGGATGGCTTCACTTAAAGGAGGAATATAAGGGAACCAAGTAAGACATCAGGGGAAAAAATAATAATACAAACTACAACAAAACAAAAAAAACAAACAATTAGAAGCCAGAGACATCCTGCAGGGGAGGAGGAGGAAGAGGCATCAGAGAGAGAGAGAGGGAGGAGCACAGGAGACTGTGGTGATGGTGCACGGGTGCATTGGTGGAGAAATTCTATGGGAACTACACCTGGGGGTGGGGGGAAGCAAAACATTGTTTGAAAATGAACGATGAGAGCCTCCATGGTGGTGCAAGGGGTTAAGCATAGCACTATGAAGCTATCTTCAGCCTCTGCAGCATGAGTTCGATCTCTGGCTGGCCAGGAAGCTATCCACATGGCGCAGCAGACCTCTCCTGTCTCACCTGCTGCTCCCCTCAGCAGTGTGTTTCAGTCAATCTGCCTGTTCCATTTCCCATTCTGTCTCTGGTGAATCCTCTCACCCACCGCACCTCTGGCCTGTACCCCAGTTCCTGTATGGATAAATAAATAAATCTTTTTCAAAAATGAACAATGATGTAAAATATATATATATTTTAAAAATCCTGATAAATTATTCATTTATCAACAACTGAGGTGATAAATTACTCATTTATCAACAACTTTTCCATCATTCTCCACATGCATCGATAAGAATTCCATCATTTCTTCACACTCTGAGGGTCAGCGGCAGACGCGTTAGCTCACACCCTCTGGCTTTAGTGTAAAGGCATTCCTCTAAGCCATGGATGTGTTTGTTAGTTCTGAGCATAAAACATAAAACACTGGCTTGTTTGTGATTCTCTTGCAGTCCTCCAACCAGTACCACTGAGAAACATGTTTGGCTTTGAGAGCAAAGGATAAAAAGAAGAATTGAATATAAACGGGAGGGTTGGAGCCAAATCATCAAGAATAAATGTGAGGAAGTCGTCTGAGGGCTCCACGCAAACCTATAAACAATGTGCATGTGTGCAGTCTTGTGTTCCTGGGCCGTAAATAAATAATAAACAGATGTTGGGAAAACATTTCTGATCTTGTGTTGGCATCCCACAGTAAGATGAAAGGGAAGAAGGAAATACAAGAAAGAGTATTAAGAATTGAACAAAGCAATCTTTCGACTAAAATGGGGCCAGGCTAAAAGGTGTCAGGCAGTCTATTCTCATTCCCCATTAGACATTTAAGAAAACAGTCACATCAACAACAACCAAAAAATGCAGTCCTTATCATTAAAAATGAAGACTGACAGCAAGACTAGATATATAAGGCTCTAAGAGGAATGTCCATGAAGTTAAAAATCTGTGTTTCTATGTGAAGTACCACCAACAAGTCTAATGAAGAAGCCAATCTCCATCTTACAGTCTTTTTTCTACCAACACTGGTCTCCCTTTGGTTCAGTCTGTGACTAAATAGTTACATCAATATTTTCTCCCACAAAGTTCTGGGTAGAGGTGTCATTATTGCAAAAGAGTTTATTTCAAACAAAAGAAAGTATTATGAAGTATTTTTTTGTAGACATGTCATTAAACTTGTGAACAGAGATCTAAGCATTTTAAGTATTTGAGTAATAGAGGAGACATATATGTCACCATGGTATCTGGTTGCCAAGTATTTGCTGAGGGTTCTAGAAACTTCTACTTGAGCATACCCAGTGAGTTCCTCAGCTCCACAGGATACAGTGGTGCTCATTAAAAGATGGTGGATTAAAAAATAATAAAGTTCATGACCTATATCTTGTAAAGTCTAAGTTCTGAGATACCTATCTGATCTTTTGAAGTCAATGGCCCAGCCATTTGACTTTACAAATCACATCTGTTATCAGAAAATTTCCATATTAGAATTTAAGCTCTATTTGATTTGTCTACTTTATTCCCCCCTCAAACACAACAATTTCACATTGATTGTGATTAAAATAAAGATCTAAATATTCCTGGATTTTTTTTTCAATTTTACCAGACAGGTGGTCTGTTGCTATCATTGAGATACTTCAGATTAATTGTAACCCTCTGGTAAATACGCTGATTTTAAGTGGAGACATTTCTTGATATTAGAATACATATAGAAGCATATCTCTTTTCTTTCTTGAATTCTTGTCATGTTTCCAATTTTCTTTAAATATAGAATTCCTTAACTTGGAGCAAAGTAATCTGGTACAAAATAACTTATTCTATGATCTTTCTTAAAATGCTAGTTATTATATTAATTGAACATGATTCAAGTTGTTACAGATTCTTCAAGTTATATGGTATAGAATATGCTTGTATTCCTTGAGATGAAGCACATTAAATTTTCAACTGAAATTCTCCATGTGAACTAGGCAGTTTTCCAAAAAGCCATTCCATTTGTGGACCCGCAACATTAAAATACCATATAGCTTTTTATGTATCCATTTTATCCACATTAAATAGAGAAATTTCCATAAGAAATTTTTTTTAGCTCAGAATTTTTTAAGGACCCATAAAACTGTCTTTGATGCTTAGAATCCTAGCTTTGGGAGAAAGAGTCAAATATATGTATTAGTCTAGATGGAGAACGAAGAACACAAGGGACTATGGTGATGGATCATGGGTGCTAAGATGGTAGAAAAATTACAGGGAGTGCATCTGAGGAGAGAAATCAAATGTTGTCCAAAAATTAACAATGATGTAAGATAGTAAATATCAAAAAAAATAAATAAATCTCTCATGTTGATTGCTCTCTCCATTCAACAATTAGACACGCCCACCAATAGATGAGAGAAGATGCAATACACACATATACACACAGTGGAACATTAGATAGACAGGAAGAAGGAAATTCTGCCCTTGTGACAACATGGATGGAAAATGAGGACACTATTCTAAGTGAAATAACACAGAGAATGACTCACACAGTACGCTAATCCATACATATGGAATCTAAAAATGCCAAGCTCATAAACACAGAGAGTAAATGTGGCTACAAAGAGCTGGGATGTATGGGATTAGGAGAGAGAACATTGAGGGGTACAAACTTGAATCTACTTAGTAGACAAGTAAGTCCTGAACGTGTGTCATGTCCAGTATAGTGAATATAGGGAACACTATTGTATTATACTCATCAAGTTGTTGAGAGACTAGATCTTAAGTATTCCCACCGCTGAAAGAAATGATAATCATGTGACATGACAGAGGTGCTCACTAGGCTAGAATGACAGCCATGCTACAGTATGTCAGTGTATTGAGTGAACATGGTGTACACCTTAAACTTATGCACTGTTATATGTCAAATATATTTTACTAAGAAAAATAAAAACAATATTCATCATGGCATACTCAGGAGAGTTCCTAGAAGGAAAATTGTGAATCCAAGAATAGGAATATTTTCCAAGCGTAGACTTTTGATATTGCAAATTTGTTTTCTACTCATGTTTCTCCCTCTTCTCTCTGAAATGTCCAGCTTTCCTTTGTGGCAGTCAAGGAAGAGAGGGAAATATAACCACTTTGCAAAGTTCAGTTTTCTTCCTGATGTAATTATTCCCAGGACTGTCTGTCTCTTCACTGTATTCTCCTAACCCATCTTTACCCCACCATGACTTGTTTTGTGTTTTATTCCAGAAAAGTCTACAAACCCTAAAAACTCTCGATGTGAAAACATACATCTGAAGAAGTGTGAACCCTAGATGATAAGGCAGTGTTGTAGACAATGTCATCTCAATAAAAAAAAAAATGAAACAATATAAAAAATAAATTACAATTTTTTTTTGTCATTTAGTGTAGGGTCTTTAGTGTCATACCAGTTATAAAATTATTTGTCGGTGGTTTCCTTGAAACCTCCTATATATGCTTTGCAAGATGAGGATGATGTTGTCATTCTCATGGAGATAGTTTAAATCTGCTTGGTTCGGGTTCTAAAACCAGTAGGAAACACATTCGTACTGGGATTTCTACGCTCTGTCTCTGTTCTTAGGTTTTCTATTATCCTGGAGCTGAAAGCTGCCACAGTCCATGGAAACCCATATAGTCTCCCGTCTCTACTTAGATGCAACTCTGTTGCCCTCACTTTCAAATCAGAGAGCAACATTGCATTGGATGGGATTTAAAGGTAATCAGAATCACTTGACATCAGAGGCAGGGGACACGTATTTATTTCTAAAAGCTAAACTGCATCATCTTTCCTTACCAGAGGAACACTTGGATACAAACTATTTGTTGTTGTTGTTTTTTTTTTTTAATTGAGTGCTGTTTTCTTCATGTTTTGGCATTTTTTTCTTTTGAATTCTAAAAAGAAAACTCCTTCTAACACAAGTATAAACAAAACCTGCTTTTGTCACTAGCACCCTGTAGAAACCAAAGATGAACATTAAATTACTCTGAGCACCTGGCTACTTGCCAGTGATTATTCAATATGAAGTTTAACCGAGTTTATCTAGAATCCGCGGAACATGTATATACAGCAAAAGGGCAAGACATGGTTAAAGTAATTACCTGGCATATTCCCACAGTGTAGACAGTCAGTCTGGCTCATTTGGACCAAAGAATAATAACCCAGCACATTCTTTTTGCCAAAAGGAGTTATTTGGCAAGTCACCTCAATGTGCCTCAACAGACGAACATTAAATCTACAAGATGCCAACAGAGAAAGAAAACACGGTTGCCCTTGGGAGCAGAAAGTCTCAGACAGGCCGGCATCAGGAGAGCTGGAGGTAGAGGAGAGAATGTGCTCAGTCAACACAATGACTTTCAATTCTGTGGCCCTTCCTGGGGTGGTGAGTTGAGATTCTAGAATTGTATCATCTTGCATCTCTGATTGCTTGATTCATTCACCCCATGAGATATCTTTTCGCAGATTTTTTTTTTTTTTGGAGGGGAGTTTTAAACATCAAACTATATGATCTGAGAGCTAGGAGGTGAATAATGCAATGTACTAGGCAGTCCCACTTTGAATTTTGTTGTGGTCCCAGTGGTGGGGATGGGAAGAAAAGGAGTCACTGAGAATCAGTGGGCTTGTGTGCATACTAACCCTAACACAGACTCGTGTTAGCAATCAACCGAGTTCCTTTTCACATTCCTTCCCCCTGGAGTGCAATTTCCTGGGGCTGAACTCTGAAATGAAGCAACACCGGCCTACTATCATATCCAGTTCTCTCTGTGGAGAATAACATTACTCATTCTCAACATTAGATTTTTCATTTCTAAGACCAAAACAGAAATAATGACTCTTCTTTGCTATTTTTTGCTTTACTGATGCCGATAGTATTTCTGAAGATTCCATTTGATATTCTTTTTGGTTCATCTTGGAATAAATAGCGGATTGATCCAGGAGGCAGTTTCAGGAGACATTTTGCCCAAGTTCAAATATCACCTTCAATGTTCAAATAGCACCTTCAATGCTCAAACCTTCAGTGTTTTGAGCTGGGGCACCTTCCTTAATTATGTGAGCTGGCTCCGTCCTTCTTTACACAGAGCAGGTAATGACAGTCTCGAATAGGCAAGAATCTTATAAGGGATAAATAAATTGAAATATGCAAAATCTTAGTCTTGATGCTGATGGTTTAGAAATCTGTCAACATGTATTAACTACTAGTGCTATGGTTTTCATGTCTTCTGGACTCAGAAGGTCTATAGTGCTTCACCCAGAAGTGGTATCGACCTGAGAGGTATTTAGGTGTCAGGAGGATTAAATGAGTTGATTGATGCTAGAAGAGATTAGAATACTGTGTGGCCTAGAACATATGATTAATAAAGTTAACTATTATAAATATCATGTATCCATGCACAATGAAAGAATTTCCCAAGATAAAAGGCATTTGAGATTAACAAAAATAAAATGCTACACCAACAATGGTTTAATTGTAACTTACTCACAAACAGTGGTCCATTTGAATATGTAGTAAAATAAAGTATAAATATCCTTCTACTTCCAGAAGCCAAGTTTAGGTTTGGAATGTAGACATGCATTTAGAAACACTCCAAAGTCAACTTTTCTCACATTAATAGTGAAGAATGTGTCAACTCATATCTTGAAAAATAAAGGTTATATTTATATCAGATCAGAATTTGT